TGGTGATCAATTTTTATCCCCATGGCAACAGTATTCTACCATCCTATCTTACCATAAACAGCCGCGAAAAAAAAAACTTCGAAAGAAGGCCCAATTCGCGCGCTTTTTCAATGATTTTACCAACAGTTTTTTGATTGCACAAGAGAACATTGTTTATTCAAATCAGGTACGCCTAAAAAAGCTTTTCTTGACTTCCATTCAGAGATGTGGTGGCTCTTGAACGTGAACGTCGTGAATCGTGAACTGGCCTATGCAATGCATTGCGGGGAGGGATGTGGAGGACGGCTGCCAATGTAGAGGCCGACGTTTTTATGCTCTTAGACGAGTCTAGCACTAGTTAGCAATCCCGGTAGGCATGAAAAGCTCGGCTGGCCCGGGCGCGAGACGATCCGGGGGGATTAGGAACCCAGATTACGCAAGTGGTAAGTGGGGCCACTTGCTACTACCTCCGCCCAATCAAAATTCTAATATTGTTGTCTTATAACATTAACAGCTTGACTGATGCGTACTGCTGCACGAACACTACCGAACTGACCACCGACACGATATCTGTGCCGAACCTTAGGTCTTGGCTTACTTTCTTTTTTTTAACTACCAATTTCCTAAGATTCCTCTTTATCAAGGATCAGACCATTGACTAGTGCTTATCACATTACTAGTAGAAGATTTCGAAATAGACAGTATCAAAGTGAGAATGAAGGCTTTCGCAGCTCTGATAAAGCATTTTTCACATATCCATTTTTTAACTGTTCTTATCATTCGTCAACGGCAAACATTACTATGCACCCCTTTTCGTTGGGACTCGTTAGATTAGCGGTCGAATTGGTTTTCATTACATGACTATCGGTGAGAAGTGAAACTTACTCAGTCTCTCAGCCTCCGCCTTCCAATACTAAAACTGTAACGGTATTCTTAGCTCCTCATCCTGTTACTGCTGTTCAGGAAGAGAACAGATAGCTTAGAACAGACGAAAATGCCTTTCTAAAGCTTGTTCCCAGTTTTTTTTTCGCGGCTGTATAATCGGCTAAGGCTATTCGCGTGCGTGTGTGTGTATATACATATATATTTTCACGAAATTCAGAAATTTATAGCGCCGGTGAGTAGCAATGAGCTGTTGGTTGCAAGATGTAGAGAGTGT